ATAAAGAACCTTTCAAAATTTAATGATTAATGTTTTGTAATTTAATTAAATAGCAAAACGACTTACTCAAAAAGAATTGGAGGATAAACTCTAATTTACTAGATTCAGGACAATGCAGCATTAAGAGTATCATCATAACCATCAAGGACTATGGATCCACTGAATCATTAACATGTTGATATCTTCATTATCATTTTCTCCAAAACTTCACGCTATCTTATTGTAGCAATACTAGCAATCATGTTGGTGTGATTACTAATACATTGCACTCCGTAGAGGTATTGTTCAATCATTTTGCCAAATAATACCTGAAAAAGAAAAAAAAAAAAAAAAAAGCTTTACTAGGAGATCACCATGGTTATAGCCATCATTTATCAAAATATAGAATTCCAAAGCATTTCAAAAGGTTATATACTACAAGAATATTTGGTATGTGCTAAACAAAAAAAGAGAGCAGTAATATAAAGGATGAAATTTTAGGATTAAAAAGCGGGTTAATATGTATAATAATATGAGTTTTAGTAAGGTAAACATAATTAATAATTAAATAATATATTGTTTATTTTTCAATGTTTTTAAATAATGTAACTCATGTTAGGTCATTAATCTCAAATTGTGGTTTCATAAAATTCTCTTCTTTTATCATTATGAATTTTTTAATTGGCGTTTTAATAGTACAGATTAAAGATGTGATTAATATAGTTTTTATAATTAATTAATTTTAAAAATGACAAAAATTAATATTTATTTTATTATCAATACCACGTAAGTCATTTTAATTAAAAAGTTGATCAAATAAAAGTCAAAATTTATTTTTCTAACAGGAATTAATAAAAAATATTTTAATACATACTAAACTCTAAGAACACATGTTAAAAAATTCATATTATTATTCCAAAAAAATAGGTCCAATTTCAAATTCAGAAACAAATGGTCCCCACATCGGTTCCAATCCAAGGTAAAAATCAATGTTCCAAACCTTTGGGGGTTATCCCTATACTCGTTGACTGGATCAGGAACAGAACATGGTGAAAGAAGAGTTTAGATAGTTTCGGTCGCGCAAGTAAATGGGCTTACTGGATCCGATAAATTTCATGTGGGCCTGTTCTTGACGTTTTTGAAAACAAGCCCAACCCCCATAGCGGGCTTTAGATTGGGCCGTTTACTCGCTCAAAAGATCGGCGATTGTCAAAAGTCCGGAGTCGGCGAACTCAGCGAGTCAGGCGGTCAATCGTATTCCTCTTTGAATAAGCAGCAAATTTACAGCACAGAATTCAGTCGTCGGAGCTTTCCCTGTCTTCCACCGTTGCTTCCTCTCCGACAACCGGACGAGTAGAAAGTCTAGCCCTAGCTAGCTGGGTAGTTTAAGACGAAGAAATCAGGTGAATCATAAACCCTAATTGAGTAGTCTCGAAGCTCAAGGATGGGGAAGAAGCAGCACAGCAAGGACAGAATGTTCATAACCAAAACGGAATGGGCCACCGAGTGGGGCGGCGCCAAATCCAAGGAAATACGCACACCCTTCAAACGCCTCCCCTTCTATTGCTGCGCGTATGTGTTCGTTCATCTTAATACTTCCCGTATACATAATCATGTTTGTGTCTCCATAAACTCAAGACTTATTTACATTCTACCTCTGATTCTTGGATGCAGTCTTACCTTCACGCCGTTTGAGGTACCGGTCTGCACCAGTGATGGCAGCGTCTTCGATATAATGTTAGTATTTCTCTCTTCTTCTTCTTCTTCTTCATTGGTGGATTTGGTTGAATGTTCATTATCTGCTTGATTATGTGTTGAATTTGCGTTTTAATTACTTGTTTTGGGGCAGGAATATCATTCCTTACATTAGGAAGTATGGAAAACATCCAGTTACTGGAGCTCTATTGAAGCAGGAGGATCTCATCCCTCTTAGTTTCCACAAGAATTCTGAAGGTTGGGAGTTTTATACCTTTTAGCTCCAAATTTTATGCTGCAAGATTTCTTTTAGTTACAATTGCAATTTTGTGCTCCAAACATCCAATTTTGTGTTGAATTTTATACTTTCCACAATATATCTTTTATAATCTTTATGAATACTTGTTAGTTGCAAAGCTGCTGAAGGCATTATTCATGTTTTAATTATTTTACTCTCATGACTTGAGTATATGTTAAGCCATTTATCCTCTGCAGGAGAGTATCATTGCCCTGTGCTAAACAAAGTTTTCACTGAATTTACACACATAGTTGCTGTGAAGACTACTGGAAATGTATTCTGTTATGAGGTTGGTATTCGTCCTAGTCATCAAAATAAAAATACCATTCATTTGAGTTTACCTTTAGATGTTCGGCATAAAAGGCTCTGTAACACTATAATATACTTTCATTACTTTTCTTGTAGGCAATTAAAGAATTAAACATCAAGACCAAGAACTGGAAAGAGCTTCTTACTGATGAACCGTTTACTAAGGACGATCTTATAACAATTCAGGTAATCACTGACTTCTCTGTCTACTTTTCTTTTGCTTTTCTTTTGCTTTTCTTTAGTGGGGTTAACGGGGGAAGGGTTGATGGGAGTGTTAACATATTTATGCACAGGTTTGAAACCTTGATTTTGACCCCCTGGAATCAAGGTTTTTGTAGTTAGTATGCACTACAGCATCAAATAGACTATGTTCTGATGACTTTAGCTTAATTCTGTATCTTTGCTTAAAGCATGCTAGTGGATTTGCTGGCGTTGATATTATATTAAGAGGCTGTTTATTTTTCTGGTTGGTTGCTCAGAATCCTAATGCGCTGGACAGCAAAGTAACCCTGGATTTTGATCATGTCAGACATAGCTTAAAGGTTGATGATGAAGGTACAATATCCATTCTGGGTTTACTTTCTAGTAAGATCAGCTATGATTATTTTATCTTCTCATGATAATGATTTTTTATAATTCTTTCTGCAGAACTAAAAAAAATGAGTTCAGATCCAACTTATAACATAAATATCTCTGGGGATATCAAGCAGATGCTTAAGGAGCTTGGAACTGAGAAAGGAAGGCAAACTGCTCTACTTGGTGGTGGTGGTACCAAGGCACAAAATGAGAGGGCTGCTGCTCTTGCTGCCATTTTAGCTGCAAGGTCACGTGTTAAAGAGGATTCAAAATCAGATTCAAATGGAGAAAATAAAGCTCAACAAGCTTACAGTATTGTAGATGCTGCATCTGCTGCAGTACATGGAAGAAGTGCTGCTGCAGCAAAAGCTGGGTCAGCTGATAAAACTGCTGCTCGGATAGCCATGCATATGGCTGGAGAGAGGGATGCTGTGAATGCCAAGCTGGTGAAGTCTCTCTCTCTTACATCTCTCCCCTTCCCCCCCTGCCATGGCAATACACACACACACACACATATTGAAATCTTATATTAGAACCATTTCACATAATTTCTCTATTTTAAATTCACATATTTTGTCTGGAATAGAATTAATCATCTTACTTTTGCCATATTCTAGTTTCCTTCCAATATTGTGCATCTCATGCTGATTAGGATTTAGGCAAACTAGGGTCATATGGTTTGATATCACCATTACCAATCAATTGGTAGTGTGATCAAGGTTATGTTAATGTGACAAACTGCTTTTTGTTTGCAAAGTGGGGAAATTTAATCCCTTTAGTGTTGCTCTTGCTAATGAATTTATCTTCTTTGTCATAGTTTTCAGATATTGTTAAGGCTTTATCACATTTTGAAGAATGTATAAGTACCCATCCATAAGTTTCTAACAATTGATTCTTTTTCAGGTTAAGAGTCGTTTTACAACTGGTGCTGCTTCACGATCCTTTACTTCTACCTCTTATGATCCTGTCACAAAAAATGAATTTGAATATATCAAAGTTGAGAAAAACCCCAAAAAGAAAGGTTATGTTCAGCTGCATACAACACATGGTGATTTGAATATTGAGCTGCACTGTGATATTACTCCAAGAACGTGTGAGAACTTCATCACTCTATGTGAACGTGGCTATTATAATGGAGTGATTTTCCATAGAAACATCAGGTATAGTGTATACTGTGACAAACAGTCCCATTTGCAGAAAGTGCTAGGGGATGTTGGGTGTTGGGCTACTGCCTTGCACCTAGGCAATGCCTAGGCACCACCTAGGAGCTCTAGTTTTTTTTTTTTTTTTTTTTGGGGGGGGGGGGGGGGTGTAGCTCGCTTTTTACAACACTTTCAAATTCCCTTTGAATTTTCTTCAAACTCAGTAGTAGCTTTATTTATTTTAATGAAGTTATACTTTCTATTCATTGTAGAAACTTTATGATTCAAGGTGGTGATCCTACTGGTACTGGGAGGGGAGGTGAATCGATATGGGGAAAGCCTTTCAAAGATGAAGTGAACTCTAAGTTGCTTCACTCGGGAAGGGGTGTTGTTAGTATGGCAAACAGTGGCCCTCACACCAATGGTTCACAATTTTTTATCCTGTACAAATCTGCCAATCATTTAAACTTCAAACATACAGTGTTTGGAGGCGTTGTTGGTGGCTTGACTACATTGGCAGCAATGGAAAAGGTCCCTGTTGATGACAATGACCAACCTCTGGTAGGATGTCATGTTCAATCTTCTGTTTTTCACAACCAGTGAATAAAGATGTGTGGAATGCCATATATTTTGTCGTTTTGAAGTATTTCATAATACCTTTGCGTACTGAATAATGGCATCAGTTATGGTTGATGCCGTTCTTTTTTTTTTTCAACATCATTAGCCACTCTCAAAAAATTGCTGTATGTAACTGATTTTTTAGTTCATTGTAAGTGTTGTGGATCTTTTTGTAATTATTGAAACAGTCAAGCTTATAGTCGATTAAGTTTATTTTTAGTTAAGTCTGCGCTCTCAGTCATATATAGGGCGCTCATTCATCACTTGTGATATATATTAACTGCTAGAAATTGAGTTACCGCTATGCCATATTTAAGTTCTAATCGTTGTCTTCTGGCATTTATGCAGGAGGAGATTAAGATTAATAGCATCACTGTCTTTGTCAATCCATACACAGAGCCAGATGAAGAAGGAGAGGAAGAGAAGGGCAAAAATGAGAAGAATGCTGAGGATGAAGAAAACGTTAGTTTCTTTATCTGCTTATATGAGAATGCTGATTTTTTTGGTTCTTCGTTTGTGTTACTTTTGAATTTTAATATGATCATATTGGTTTTCCTTCCATGGCTTCCAGGATAAGGTTGGGTCGTGGTATAGCAATCCTGGTACAGGGACGGCAGAATCTGGAGCCAATGGTGGTGGTGGTGGTGGTGGTGTTGGAAAATACTTAAAAGCAAGGAATAATCAAAGTGACTCTGCTGTCACTGACACCAGTGCAATCACTGTAACAAAGAAAAGGAAAGTCACAGTAGGAGGATTTAAAGATTTTTCTGCCTGGTGAGGACTTCCATTATTCCATATGATCTTTTCTGGTGAGGAATCAATGGTTGCTCAAAGTGATTCTACTGCTCAACACTTCCTAACAAAGTCACTGTTGCAAAGAATAGGAGAATGTGGATTTTAGTGTCAGAATGCAAAGCTTTAAATATTCTCTGGAGGTAGCATCACTGAGTTTTGAAAAATATTTCAACATGATTGAAAAGAAAAACAATAGGAAAATTGGCATACATACCGTGCATTTGTATTTTAGGTGTAGAAACCTGATTGGAGTTTGTATTTTCTCCTCCGTTTCTTGTGTAAAAGTATAAGATTTTCCATATCATTATTCTGTGTGTATGAGGTCATTCGTGTGTGTGCATCCAAGGGTACGTGTTCTGTGTCTGGGTTTTCTCTGATCCTCTACCAGTAGTTGGTTTCTGACCAGAGGTCCAGCTTCTCTTGTTCAAGATCAGTTTCAATGGAATTCCCAACTTCAAAGGTAAACCCCAAGTCCTAAATTCCATTACAGTTCCATTGTCCGTTACTTCTGCAATGATCATTACATTTCTGCATATACCGGACAGAAGACAATGATGTTGTGAGACAGATTACACGGATGGGTCCACCAGTTGTAGTAATTTCGACCAAGTATGGTATAAGATTAGTCTACCCATTTACGGGGAACTTTGTTTTGATGCGCTATTGGTGTTGAATGCGTACCGTATTGCTGAGGCTCTATATTGATGCCAAACTTTTTGGATTGAATATGCTTCATAATCGTTAATGCAAATGCAACTAGTCATTGCCAACATTCATGGACCATTGATTCATGGTCCTCCAGCCAAAATTCGACATGTACCACTACCTCAAAGAAACATCATTACTCTTTTAACGTCTTGGTTACTGGATATCCAACCCAGCTAAGATCAAACCCCCATTTCCAACCCTTTGTTTCACCCTTTTTATTTGGCAAAAGGAAGTTTCCTTCCCTTCGAAAAAAGCTGCAAGATATATTATATAAATATACATATATATATATGTATGTCCCATTTTGGTTTAAAGCTGATGTTGAACAACTTTAATTTGGAAAAGTATACATCCATATTATGTATGTAGGGTTTTTGTTTCAATAAAGAAAAGAACACAGCTTTTTCGAATGAGTAGTAATATTCCAAGACATATTTTTTTCATGCATGACATGTGCTAATGTTTATTTTTCAAAAAGATTGTGATGAAACGGTTCGGTGAACAACTGTTGATTAATCCAATCCAACATGTAGGGCCTTTTAAACATCACCAACCAAGAAAAAAAGGGGCAAAAAGTCGAGTGGGGCCGTGGGGGTTACTACACAGCCTTCAGGGTAGGGACTATATTTTTATTTTTCTGGGCAGATTTTCAGACTTCACTTTTCTGATGGGGCAACACATGGGGAGGGTTGAGGAAATAATTTTACTTACAATTTTATCTCATGATAAAAGATTATAATTTTAGGTGATAATAATTGTAATGAATTTTTTTTTTACTTAGGGGGAAGTGTAATCCGTATAATTCAATGTATGATTACTGTCAAATTTCATTGCAAAATAAAATTATGGGAGTTACCTCTGGGGGGATTAATCTTGTGAAGAAAGCTTAATTAATTAATTAAAGTAAACCAAAACAATAGCGAGAAGCATGTCTTCATACCAAATTCTAAACTTCTAATCAGTATTTGGCGAAAAAATTCATCCATAAAAAAATATATATTTAAAAGTTAAGAAAAACAAGCAGAAAATATAAAACTTTTAAAAAATGGTTCTACATGTTTTCATTAATTGGATTAAACCAAACAAAGTTATAGAATGGTATTTTAATTAAAAATAATAACAAGTTGTCATCGCCATCTCAATCCATCCACGCCAAAATCTTTATAGTGGTTGAGGAACTGTGACATTTCATCTACATTAATAATATTAATTCTTGTTATAATAATTCATAAATCAAATTTGATCTAACAGTTTGAGCCCACCGTACCCATTAAACATCCCTAATTATTTTATTTTTCAAAGTCAGTGTCTTATTAGCTTTATTGTTTTTTTTTATTTTTATTATTCCATTATGATTTGTTTATAACTTTTGTTAAAAACAATTACTTACACCAGCTATATGATATCAAACTAGTTTATATATATTGATTTAGAATTATGATTCGTTCAAACGAGTATGTTATAAAAATTTATCAATAATAAGCTAGGTTAACTAATTATTTTTCATTTTTTAATTAGGGTTAGGAAAATGGATAATGATACATACATTCTGCACAGTTATACACTTTATTACACATTGACAGAAATCGTTAATTCTAACAACATAAGTAATAAAAACCGTTAGATTTAACGACACAGTAACAAATTATTAGATTTAATGGCACATATAACAGAAACTGTTAATATGTAATAGAGTGTATAACTTTAATAAAATGTACCAATTATTTTCTTAGGAAAATATTTAAAATAGAGTTGTATGAATTGTTATGATTTTTATTTAATGATATAAATTTTTTAATTTTTTTAATTAAATAATAATTTTTTA